AGTTTGGTTCTGATGGCAAAGCCTTTTCTGTTAGAAATTTTGTAATACATGCTCACTTGCATCTCCTTATTTTTTGGGGGCGGGGGAAGCACAGGGGACTTATCAAATAAGCCTTGCCTTAAAGGCAGATAAAATGTGGGGGAGTATTATTTGAATGACAGCAAGAGTGAAGTGTAGCAATTTCTCTGAAAGCAAAAGGGAGACAATGTTCCACTTCCAGAGTTACAGGGATGGATTGGCCCTCGAAGCTGAACCCCTGAATGAGCCCAGGGTCATCATACATAGAGTCATGGAGGAGGATACAGTCATAGGAACAAGCTCAGATGTGGGTGAAGGAGGCGGGGCCTCCAAACTTTTAGGTCTGAAGTTGAATTCTAAGTGGTGTAGTTGAGGTGTGATGGTCATGTGTCTGTGGTCCCAGCTACTCAGTAGGAGGATTGCTTGAGACCATGAGTTCAAAACTAGCATGGGTTAGTGAAACAGAGACTGCCTCTCAAACACACATATGCACGTACACATGCATACAGACACAGACAGACAGACAAATACACACACACACACACACACACACACACACACACACACACACACACACACAAAATGCATCACGAGATGTGGAAGCTCTAAGACCCACATCCAACCTGAGTGGAGGGAGGGTGAGTGATGTCTGTTCAGAGAGCTGCTGAGCTCCATAAAGGAGCAGGCAGAGCAGACTCTCTGGAATGACCCAGAAGCACCCAGTTGTCCTGTGCAGGGCTCACTCAGATTTTTTCCCCCAGTGGGTCCATTGTGTGGTGCCCACAGTGAGGAGGGAACGTAGGTCTGCTCTAATCATGAGAGCATGACTGTGAGCTGGACAGACCTGGCCTTGGCTGCATTTCTGTAGTCCGTGTTCCTCTGGGGACCTGGAGTTTCTATGGGCTTTGGGAGAATGTCTGGGAGGTTTCCACAAGGAAGCTAACAGAAAACAGGCATATTCTAAAGTGGCCAGTCCCCTAGCGTACCTCCACCTGTCTTCTCCAAGTTCAGGCCTAGCCTCTGTTTTCCTCTGATTAAATCTTAGGCCTGACTTCAAGGACCTTCACTCAAGCTCGTGTGGTGACAATGTCTTTATCAGTGAAATACAAATGCCCCTCTCAATGCCCCCATCTCCAGTTCTGCCCAGTTTGAGCCCTGATTAATGAGGGCTGTTAATTAGAGCACTCTTCCCAGCTACAGACATGGCTGGAAGCCAATCTTGGAAGACAGAATCCATCCTCTTGGAGCTGATGAAAGAGGCTATATTGATGGGAGAAGCTAGGCTGGAGGTGGAAGGCACCTTTCCCTTTGTCTGTCCAGACCGTCCCTGTCCCCACCCCACTTTCCCTCTTGACCTGGCACATCCTCTCTGACGACTGTTTCTGCTTCCTACCTCTGGCTGTGAAGACATCCATGGTACACAGATGCCTAGCAAACTGGGAAGGACTTTGGAAGAGGGAGACAGAGAAGGCGAGAGGATGGAGGTGGAGGGAGGGAGGCTGTAAGGGAAGGGAGGTCCAAAGACAAGGGATATTGTGGAAGGAGCCTGGCTGGGGAGGCAGAGCCTCAATGGGAGGGTACCCTGAGGGGGGATTAGAGCCTAGAAGGGAGAGGAGAGACTTAGTGGGGAGGAGGGTTATTGAGCTTGGGGGGGCTTAAAACACTTATGTGGAGGGAAACTGGAGAGAGGGTGCACCAGGAAGACCTAAGGGGGAGGAGTCCTGATGGAGGAGACGTAGGTGAGGAGTCCTGAGGTCCCAGGGAACCAAATCCACAGGCCCAGCATCATAGGTTTTGAGAACCCTGGGTGGGTTATCTTGAGCAGTGGCTCAGCCTTGGCTGCAGGTGAAACTTGTGCACAGCTAGACCCCGTCCAGATTGTCTCCAACCCAAGGAATCGGGGCCATTGGGTTAGGTGTCTACAGGACAACCTGGTGAGGTCTTCTAAGGATGTGATGTGCGGTCAAAGCTCAGTCTTGCCTGGACCAGGTGACTGTATATGGATGCAGGGCCACCCCAGAAGATGCCTTCTCTATTGTCTTCAAAGCTGCTTCCTATGTGGTGATTTTAAGAGACTCAAAATATTAAACTGTAGCCTCTTTTGGAGACTGGAAATTTCCACTGATACCACATTCTCCCCCTCATTTATTCATTCATTCATCCTATAAACCTCCACTTATCATGGACTGGGACAGGAGCTGGCAGAGAGCCTTCCCAGAGGAGGCCAGGCCACAGGAGGCACAGAATGGCCTGGCCAAGAGCAGGCCAGGTGGTAAAGGCCTGGAAAGATGTTCTGGATTACCTGGGAACTGCATGTCTAGCCGTTAATGAGCATCTCTGCTAGGTGGGTCAGCTCATGGTGATGATATCCTGTGGCTAGATCTGTGGACTCTCCGCACACTGGCTACAGAGGCCTGCCTCTCACAGACTTGGGGGAGCTGCTGTGTTACGGCCCCATATCCACCATCTGCGAGGTCAGAGTTCTCATAAAGGCCCTAGAGACACATAGTGATACCCTGAGTTTCGGTGGGAAGGGACTTCGTGGAGCATTGGGGTAACAGTGCCACCATGGTACCTGGCCCTTCTCTTTGTGTTTGTTCCTATGCCCCACAACACTCTGCAGACACTCAGAAGCTTCTGAAAGTCTAGCAGGCATCAACACGCAATCAACCGGAGGCCTGAAAAAAAAAAAGCCCGAGGAAGACCCTCACTGGCTCACCCCAGCTAGCCTCTGAAGCTGGTGGGAAGACTCCTTGCCAGAACTTAATGCCCCAAACGTGTTCGATGACAGAATAAGACAGCCCCCTTTCTCCACCTTCCTTTCTTCCCCCCTTTCACCTCCCTCTCTCCTCTCTCCCTCTCTCCTCTCTCCCTCTTCCCTTCTCTTCCTCTTCCCCTTTCTCTTTCTCTTCCCTCCTCTCCCTCCCTCTTGCCGCATGTCCCCTTCATCCCTCCCCTGCCCCCAGCTTCTTCCTCAGCCTGCCCCACTGTCTGCCCTTATTTTTAGAGAGGATGTGAGCTCCAAAGATCACTTTGAGCTCTTTCATGTGAGATTCTTTCTGCAAAGGCCCAGACCCTGCTTCTTGTTTTTGTCTGGCTGGGGTCAGAGACAAGTGAGACTCTGGCAATCACAGGAAGGTACAGCCACTCCCTGCTCTTTGAGGGGCCTCCAGACAGGAGGGTCTCCAGCCCCACGGCTCGCTGTGCTGACAGTGAAATCTCTGTGGTGAGCCCCTGCTTGTCTTGTCTGTGATGCCAGTATGGGGACATGGTGTGGGAGCCTGGAGATGTCTCTTTCTCGTCCTCCCAACTATGGGCCTCTCAGTGGCACAGATGTCTAGAAACCTGCTCTTCTTAGGGTGTGGAGAGTGAGCCCATGTGATGGACCCTCTGGATGGTGGCATCTGTATCCTCATTTCAAAGCCTTCCTACCTGGGTCCCTTGTTGAGATAAGTGCTGTGTGGGGGAACAGTCTGGAAGAAGCACAGAGCTCCTTGCTCTTGGTGTTTGTCTAACTTTATCCTTTTCTAGTACATGTTGGGGAGCCATAATTCCAATCTCTGGTGCCTTGGGCTCCTCAACCCCTTATGAATACCTTGCAGCACTGCCTTGGGGTTAGGGTTTAGGGGCGAAGGGTGCTGTAGATGGACAGATGTACCCCCGAGGACCTTCACTACACTCCATTTTTATTGTTAGATAATAATAGATTCTTTGACTGTGCAAGACAGACATCTGGGCTGGAAGATCCCAGATGCTCTGTGAGTGCTGAAGTTCTGGTGAAACCAGATTCAACCACCTGGAGCCTCAGCTTCCCTATGTGTAACGTGGGACACCATCATGAGTAGACAGCTGGTGCCTGGGACTCCTGGGTCCTCCTCATGACAGGGACAATTGAAACATCTCTGTGTCCCCCCAGCTGGTGGACGGAGTGGGATGGGGTTATATTGGGGGCAAGGTAAGTGGCCACAGAGACCTGGATGGACCTGGATGTCTCTAGGGATTGGTGTTCCCAGCCTATCCTATCAGAGACAAGCTTGGCTTCCCGGGAGGCAGCTGTTCTAGTTTGTTCCTGAAGGTTCTCTCACAGAACCACTTACTATGCAATGGACTGACCCTCTGCAGAGCTGACTGTGAGTCCCAAGGCCTCTGAGCTCCTTTGGGCATCAGGGAAGGGATGGAGGTGGCTTTAGCCTCTGCCCTGGTTTGCTTTCTATCGCTGTAACAAGCACCATGACCAAGGAGGAAAGGATTTATTTCAGTGAAAAGCTTACAGTCCATCATGAAGGGAAGTTAGGGCAAGAACTCGAGGCAGGACTCTGGAAGCAGGAACTAGGGCAGAGGCCACAGAGCAGCGCTACTGCTTACCAGTTTGGTCCTTGCGGCTTGCTCATTTTGCTTTCTTAACCAGAACCACCTGCTCAGGGGTAGCACCACCTACAGTGGGCTGGGCCCTCTCAGAGTCATCATGGATCAGGAAAATGCCCTACAGGCATGCCCACGAGCCAATCTGATGGAGGCAATTCCTTAACTGAGGTGCCCTCTTCCCAGATAACTCCAGCTTGTGTCAAGTTGACAAAAACTACCCAGCACAGCACCCTAATCCCACAGAGTTGGACTGCCCAGCTCAGGAAGGCATTCCTGGCCTCTTCCCTGAGCATCCCCTGCTTTTGTTTCTCACCATTGCCTGGTTCTATGTCATAAAGCCTCCCACGTCCCATCACTTGGGACCATGCAGGTAACATAAACTCTGGCTAGTTTGATCTCAGTGCCTATCAATTTTTCCAGTGCTGGAATAGAAGTCAGGTCAAGAGTACATTAGGCCTGTGCTCTACCACTGAGTTAGCCCCGTAACACTGATCATTTTACTTCAGGGATGGATTCTTGGAACACCAGAATAGAAATCTCTACTGGAACCCCACTGAGCACCTGGTGTCTTCTCCTAGGATTTTAAACCTTTTTTTTTTTTTTTTCGTGAAACAAAGAGCACAGCCTAGGATTGGTTCAGGAGGAAAAGCAGAGGCCAGAAGCCTTCCCCAGGATGGAGAGTTCTCAGGAGGCAGAGGGCACAGGTGTGGGTCCACCCCAGCATGGCGGAGGTTTGTTCACCTACAGAGTCGGCCTGAACCAGCCACCCACTGCTCTTTGGCTTTTAAGGGGGAGCAGTATGTGCCTGGCATCCAGATGCCCCATGTGAACAGGAAAGAGGCACTGATGGATGGCGGCGCCACAATGAGAAATGGATCAATGTATCATCTCACCTGGTATTGGCATTCTCACTCAGAGAGGAGGCCCAGCAGAGGTCTTACAGCGTGGGCTCCAGCTTCGCCTGTCGGGAGGACATTCCCCCAAGGATAAGAGGATGGCAGCCTGGCCTTTCTTGGAGCTTCCTCCATCATAGTACATGGATGGGGGTGGCATGAGCATGCAGTCTGCACATCTCCCCAGAAGGCCTCAGGTGAGATCAAAGAGGCCATGGGTATCCATTTGTGGCTGCTACTGTAGCTGTGATATGCTGGGGTTCGTGTGGCAATTTGTGAGGCTCTGACAGCACTGGGGTACGCTTTTACAGTCTTTAGAATTGTTTTCCTATGTCCCAGGGCAGAACCCATGGAGCACTCCACTTCTGCTGGAATCAGCACAAAGCAGACCCCACACCACTGGGCAGTGGCACACCATGCCACTCAGACGGAGGGTCCTCATACAGAGAGACCAAAGCCTTGAGAGTCTCTATTGTCCCTAGCACTCTCAGAAGAGCCAAATTCCCCTGAGCTCACCTTGGCTCCTACTTCTAGCTCTCACTAGAGCCCAGGAACTCAGGTCCCTCTAGCCTTGTTGCATTGGCAGGGTCTGTCTGCATCTCTACATGGGATACTCTTCTGTCTTGCAGGTCCATTCACTCACTACCTCTAATTTCCACACCCCAAACCGAGCCTGTGAAGCCTTGTCTTGCTTTCAGCCTGTGGGTGGAGCTGGCTTCCCACAACTGTCTCCATCAGTCAGTTCAGCACGGGCATCTGGTGGATGCTCCTCCGGTCAGAGCCAAACACTCCTCCCTTTTACTTGGCTTCTTGCTGTACCCAGCTCGCTGGCAGCTGGATGACCTGTCTAGTGGCTATACCCCTCACTTCACCCCATCAGCCCATCTATTTTATATCACAGAATGTGCTGGCACTGGGATCCAGGGAGGCTGGAGTCATCAGGAGTAACATCACAGAGTCATGTCTTGTGGACAACAGGCCCGGGGTCAGAAAATGGAAGATGCCTTCTTTCCAGTCACACAAAAGATACACTCCAGAGAAGGGCCTTCAGTAGGGCCTGGTTACTTACCTGTGAGGGACTGAGGCAGGGTACCCACACACAGCTGCTGGCCTAGCTAGACCTGCTGGACATGAGGTACCAGGGAGCAGGAAGCAGAGTTGCTCAGTATCAGGGATAGCTTCCAAGTGAGGCAGGGCCTGGAAAGTCACTGCAGAAGCAAGGGACCCATCAGAGCTCTCAATGAGGGCCCATGACAGAGGACCCTGACTTCAAGGTCCAAGGATTTAGAACTCAAGACTCTATGCAGGATCTAACTGAAAGAAGCTGGTCTAGTCTCACCTGCATGTCCTGTGGGTGCTGCATTCTCAGCCACATGGGACCCTTGGCCTGCTGGTCACCCTGGTGGGTATGCCCATTCTTTCCAAGGTGGCATGTTGCCACCATGTCCATGCTGGCCCTCCTGCTCTGTCTCTGTACATAGATGCTCAGAAAGTTCCAGGGAAGTAAAAAACTTCCCCTTCTTCAGCTGATTATCTTCTGAGAGCTCCATCTTACATTCCATAAAGACTGAAAGCAAGTTCCTGAGGTCCACAGACCCTATGCTATGGCCCCCAGCCTTTCCCCAGTAATAATTGTCTCTGCCTCCTCTCCTGGGGTCTTTGCCATGGTTCCTCCTCCTGGGGGACCCACAGAGCTGGTATTGAATAAGGCTACATTTTTAGGGACTAGCACCACCATCAAGAACCATACAATGCTCAGAGAGGGATGTATGATATCACATGGTTCAGCCTGTTACAAGTGTCTACCAGGGATGTATCTGAGAGCGACACTGGAGGAGATAAAGTGTCTTATTCTTAGAGGATGCAAGCAGGGGTTTGGTTATAGAATATGCAATGTCAGTATTTTTCTGCTCTTGTCCAACTGGTCATCTACATTCCATGTGGTGAAGCTGGGTAGACTTTACTGTGCAGCCAGTAAGCCTGTGGACGTGGTCCAAAGGTGATATTGAGGCACGTGTTAAGAATCTTACCAGCGGAGATGATTTGACATTTGATGTTGAAATACTATGTCATAGGTCAGAGGCAGCGCAGCACATGATTGATATGACTGATGGGGAAGCTTTGTGCATAAACACCTGGTAAATATTGCTGTTCAGGATAAGCTACTCCATTGTCAGAGGTGATGAGTCGTGGCATGGGCTTGGACACACTTTCCTCACGGCAGAGGAAAGACAGAGCGTGTTTATCTCACTGTATGCTAATTTGGAAAATGATAGTCAATTTCCTGCTTTTCCCCTGCTTCTCCAAAGCTCTGTTTGCTGTGGTTACAGGCTTGACCACGGCACTTGCTGTGCAGATGTGGGTAGGCTCTGCTTCTGCTTGTGCCCCTTTGACTGTGTGGCCCAGGACAGTGAGCTCGGGTCGTTCTGAACATCCCCTGTTTGTGTCCAGCCCCATACCTGAGCAGACCTAGGTTGACTCTTGGTGATCTAGGATAGAGGATGACAGGTCTAACAGATGACAGGGAGATGCCTAACATTCAACCTGTCCCCTGGTCCTCTGATGCTGTATGGGCAGGGCTGTGCCTTCTGCTGTCCCATCAATGTTGGGTCATTCCTGCTCTCACCTGATACCACACCATGCACTTGCTGTGACCCTGGTTTCTGGCCTTGCTGTATATTCCTGTCATTGCATTTTTCCCCCTGGTTCAGCACTGGTCTCTCCTTCTAGGTGAGCAGCCCATGCTGGTGTCCAATTCCTGAGCTGATCTCACTAGGCCTACATACATGGTGCCAGTGTGTGATGGTTCTAGTCTTGGCAATTTCAGGGGATGTACGACATTGATGGGAGGGCCAGAAGCCTTCCATGGATCGTCAGAGGGAGACCAAGAGGGTTCTAATCCTCATAGATCTCTCAGTGTGAGCCATGGGTCACAGGTACTGGTGGTGTCATGTACCTGAGAGATGAAGTCAAGCAGCAGTCAACAGAAGTGTGTCCACAGAAAGGTGTAGACCGCAAGGCCTGCAGTGCCATGAACCTGTGTGGCTTCTAGGCTACAGAAATCAACAAGTTCCACTTTTCTCCAGTGCCTCACTCTGGTTGTCATCATGTAAAGGTATTCATAACAAACCTCACACAGGGAAGCATCATTATTCCCACTTTCGAGAAGGGAATACTGAGGCTCAGCCATGTGCTCAGTGTCACAAAAGTATTAGCAGCTATCAGGATTCACACACTCCCTGCTGAACTGGGGATCAAGCCTGTGGCAGGGGAGCTCTTGGAGGACAGAGCCACATTCCAACAGAAGGCCCCGAGGACTATGGAAACTCAGGAGATTCTGTTTGGGAACATGTCAAAGTGTCCTTTGATACTGGGGAAGGGAGAGAGGTTGAGGCCTCATTGGTTGGGATATGCACTTCATGGCACATATTTTATGAGAGAAACTTGCCATTCCCTCTTCTCTAGAGACATAGGTCTTTGGTTATCTGGAGCTGGTGTGTGGAGTCCCACCCTCTACATGGGAGGAGAGAATGGAGGAGCACCAGGGTGGAGTTGGGGGCACTAGCTACGACATGAGAAAGGACAACAGAAGTTGAAGAATGGCTGGCTTGCTTTTCCCGGAGCCTTCTCCTCTCCACCTCCATGAGAAGACCAAGGTGGGGTGAACCACATCCAAGCTCAGTGAGGGAAAGGCTCTGATCACCTCGACAGTCTTGGGCTTCTCACACTACCCAAGGGGTTTGAGAGGGTCTTCCGCGGCCCTTGGTCTGCTCCACAGCAATAAGAGGCTTGTCCGAGCTTGCCCTCGCCTTCCACCTAGCATGCAGTAGCCCTGTAATGGGGCCGTGAGTTTTATAGCCCTTGACTGTGAGATAAGTTTGAGATTCAGGGTGTATTGCAGAGATGCAGGAGAGAGCTTTTGTGTCCTCCAGTGGTCCTTGATCACCTCACTAGATGAGGTGAATGGCCTTCCAGTCCAGGGCATTATTGGCTGGCACGGGGGTGGAGGGTGAGGGGTGGGGTCGTGGCTCAGGGATCCTTTAGTTGGCTCCATGTGGGATATTTGCCTTGGTTTTTGCTGAAGCCCAGTTTCTCCAAGTGGTGGTGTGCACCAGATAGATGATCTGGGTCACTTTAGGAAGTTCTGGGTCTCAGGTGGAAGGAGGGTCTCTTTAGTTTATTCTTCGGGGCTTGAAGTTGAAATCATGCTTTCAATAGGGAATGTTTCAGCAGGAGGCCTTGTCTTCACCCCACCCCTGTCTCTCCCTTTCTCCTTTTCCCCCTCCCCCTCCCATTTTCTCTCTCTCCCTCTATATCTCTCCTCCTCCCTTCTCCCCACTCCCTCAACAGCAGGCCTATCCAGCCAGCATCACCATACGACTTTCATCGTATTTATGCTTACACAGGACAAAGGGCATTGATGCTCCATTTATGTTAAGGATATAAAACTTCCCTTACAAATATAATTTAAAATTAAAATATTTATTATTTGTGTGGGCACATGTGTGTGTGTGTATACATGAATGTATATATGTATGTATGTATTCAACATGTGCATGCCATAGCACATGTGTGGAGGGCAGAGGACAACTTTTGGAAGTCAGTTCTTTCTCTCCTCTGTGGGGTCCGGGGAACTACAGGACACCTGGTGAGTCCCAAGTCTTTCTTCTGGTATCTGGGACGTGTCCCATGCACAGCCTCCACACTAATTTCCACCTTCCTGGGGCCTGGGTTTGCTCAGCTTTGTGACCATGGCTCTGGCATGACCAGGCAGCGCTAACATGGCTCTACTCAGGAAAGGATGTATTGTATCTTTTCCTCAATCTGGCTTCAGAACAGAAAGAGAAGGCTCTGCCAGTCCCACACTGTGTGGGGTAAATGGTCACCATATGTTAGCAGCCCCCCACCTCCTGCTGTCCTGTCTTGTTGGGAATCTCAGAGTCCTTAGCTCTTTCCATTCTCAGAACTGTGCTCTGATGAGCCCTCCGACCACTCATCATCATTCCTTCCATCCTCGACTCTGAGCTGCACTTACAATTGTGTCCTAACCACAGGACCTTTGAAGCCAGTTCCGGCTAATCTGGAACTTCTGCCTGGTCTTCCCAGAAGCTTGCATACAGGATCTCCCAGTCCAGTGAAAGAACTTCGGCTCCCTGCTGGGATGACCTCTTGGAGGTGGAGATATTATGGTCTGGAGACAGCCTGGTGTCTACATCTTTACTTTTCTACCGTGCCAGATACAGTGACTCTGATGGCCACACTGACTCCTGAATGAGTGCATGGCCACCATGGCCATCTGAGCCTTGCCCAGATTCCTACAAATGCTGTGATATAGTAGATGATTGCTTTTTAAAACCTTCAAGGTGTGGAGTCATTTGTTAGGCAGTGAGAGCTTACTGGAGAAATCAACTGAGCCAGCCCAAGCAGCCCTAGTCAGAGGTGGGTATCAGGATGTCCCCACTGGCTGATATACAGCTTCGGTGGGCATGGGGATGACCTACTGAGCTAGCCACAGGCTAGCCAGCACTACCACATGCTACCTAGAATTTCAGAGCCTGCCAAAGAAAGCCTCCACTCTGGGGCAAATTTCATCAATCTCTATCACTAGGGGCTTGGGCGTTGTCACAGTTAAGGCGTCCTGTGACCGTGGCTAGAATGGGTGAGAAAAGTAACAGATATAAGTCTAAAGATCTGCAAGGGCCTGAAAGCTGCTGTGTTGCAGGGAATATTAATATGCGGCCCGGAGGTGTTCATTGAACTAGAACTCTACAGCAAAGGGCAGGGTGAGAGAGCAGAGGCAGGAAAGCCAGACAGGGCAGAAAAATGTCCAGAGGCTGCACTGTAGTTTCATGCTGAGGGTGGGGGTCAAGAACCAGTTTGAGCATGGGAGTCCAGAAGCCACTTTGGAAGGAGACCCAGGTGCTTTTATATTTAAAATGACTACTGGAGAGCCCATTGTTGTGGATGTAGGGCTGGCCAGTTGCTGTTGAAGATGAGGGTGGCACACACATGACCCTAGTTTCCTTCATAAGGTGATAGGCAGAACCAGTACTGGAAGGGACTTTGGGTCTTGGGCCTGACCTTTAATTCCAATTTTTTTTCCTCAGATGCTCCAAACCAGGCTCCTCTCTGGCAAATACAAAATTCAAGGAAAATAAATGAAAGTCTTGGCCCCGCTGAGGATGCAGTTAACATTTGCATCTGAGGACCAGCATCACATGGGAAAGGTGCTGACCCAGGCATTTTGGCTGAGCAGGGAGGAGGAAGAGGAAGACAGCTGAGTGACTGAAAACTTCCTCTTCCCACTGCACAGCAGTGTGTCCTTGACTGTGGCCCTCTGCCAGGACAGGATGCCTTTCTTGAAGAGTCCTTTAATTTATCAATGAAGGTTAGCTCCTGTTTCAGGCAATTTTCTAAGCTGGCTGATTCATTTTTCAGGGGGTGTTTTAAATTTATTAGGGAAATGGAGATCAGTGTGCAGCTCTGTTCCTAATTGTTAACCTAATAGTTAGCACCTACCCTTAGCACAGCTCTTTGGTTGCATGTGCTCTATCAATATTTACAGTTCATGCTAGGTTCCCTCTTGTTTTGGCAAATCCTTTGGTACTTGTGGCTGCTGGAGCTCATGCCTATGACAGGGTTCATGGCCTGAATCCTCACCTCCAGTCAGGTGGTTACACTTTGCCTATCCTGGGTGTGCCTCAACTCTGAGAGTTTACAGTGTACCCATGTAGTTCTCATACTTGACAGGCACCTTCTGGATTTAGTATCTTTCTCAATTTCACTCCCAGAATTTGGGCTACCTTGTCATGGGGCTCCCCTTTTTGCTGCTGACTCTGGCTTCTCTCTGCTTTCCAGAATGCAGCCCTCTACTCCAGCCTGACCCAGGGTAAGATGTGTTCAACAAGCTTTGGTCACACTTGCTGGGCATGGCTCTGGATAACTGTCCTTGGCTAGTGTTTTTGGAGGATAATCCTGAGGAAGAAAGGCATGCAGAACAGTCCTGCCTCTGGCAAAATGTTAGGTTATTAACTGGCAATTTCTTCATGTGTTATGGTAGATGCTGGTGATGGAGATGGTGGGAAAATGCAGGGCAAGTGACTGAGCCTCAGTTGCATGAGGTTCCAGGAAAGCGAAGATATAAATTCTCATTCTGAATAAGGGAGGCCAGTGTCAGGTGTACATAGCCTCGAGACAGGTGTCAAAGCTATACTCTGTCACACTGTCATATTCTATCTTTAATTTTAACAGAGGAAATGGAGGTATGGGGAGGGGAGAGAGATGGAAGAGAGAGGAAGACAGAAAGAGGGAGGGATGGAGGTGGATGCCGTGGCTGTGGGTTTCCTTCCCTTCTATTGAGCTGGCCATTTCCTTGGCCACCCTAAACCCAGGTGCAGTGATCACTGCAGAAGCTGGCTTGCTTATTACTTCATCTTTTATCTATGGGCAATAACATCTGACTAGTTTCTGGTGGTATTGCCCTCTTGAGATCAGCTGGGCGCACTGGCAAACCCAGGGCTGGTTAGAAATTCCAGGGACCTCTCAGGACCTGTGGAAAGGGTCTGTACTCCATGTTTGGGATTTACAGTGGGGGCTGAATCAGTATGTGTTATTAGTGGGGCATACATGGAAACAACTGGTGTTTACTGATTATCTACATTGTGCTGAGACCTCCCTAGGTGCCTCAGTGCATTCTAGTTCATTCCTCATGACCCCTTGGTACAGGCACATCATCCCTATTTTTAGAGGCCGTGGCTCAGGAGTTTGGTGATGGGCCAAGGCTTCCAGCTGGTGCAGGCATACTGAGGCAGTTACCACTTGAAACAAGATCTGTTTTACTGAAGAAAAAAAAAAAACAACCTTAGGTCATTCCCAGGTAGTTTATCTATTCATTGATTTTTCCAAGAAATCAGTGCTATGTACCAGAGAAGATATGCTAACCATGTGGTTTTTGCCAATAGGCTCTGTTCCCAGAGCTTTCCTTCAGAGGAACACCTGCTGTCTTTGCCATTTCTATAGAAATGAGGTCGAGGAGACCTGTGGACAGGTAGGCCAGCCTGGGAAGAATTCAGCTGAGCTGTCTCCTGAGGAGAGTCATTTAGCTGATGAAGGAGGGCTTCCTCCTTGGACTGTCATGCCTTTATGTATTTCCAAGGTTGGTCCCTTAGAAATTCCCAAGGGGATTTACCTTCAAAGGATGAGAACCTTAGAGAAATGACTACCAAGAACAAAAGTCAGGAATGGAGATGGGCCTGGAGCACCATGGCATGCCAAAAGGGAAGGGCTTAAAACACAGCAAAACAGTGTGTGACCTCTTGGCCTCTGTCATGGCTAAGATGCTCATTAAATACATTTATCAACTGCCCTAGGGTTTAGGTCCTTGATAATTTAGGGTGCTGAAAGAGAGGTTGCAGCTATTAGCTATGGCCCTGGGTGTCTATTTCCTATTTGGTGACATATTCACAGATTCATTTGTCCACACATCCATTTATTCATCCTCCATTTATTCATCACCTTCCCACTTACTCATCCACTAATCCATCCATCTGTGCTTTGTTCATTCAACTAGCCATCTACCCATTCACCCACCCAGCCACTCGGGCCTTCTCTTGATGAGGTGCCCTCTAGCTAAAGGTCATCCTCCATTGTTCTTTGG